ACGCGGGGTACAGTCAAGCCCCTTGCTTGCAACGATGGAAGGAGGAGAGGGCGGGGAGAGGTGTGACTCATGCACCTGAAGGCGGTTATACAGCCGCAGCAACTTCCTGGGGGCCGTGAACACACACATAGCGCTCTCTGCTATTGATCCACGTGATTCAGAGCGCGCACCCAGGTCGCTCTCCACATGCCGAGGAGGTCTCCGAGGAGCTGCTGCTGCTGCTGGCGGTATCCCCCTCCCTCGAGCGTTACCATGGGGATCTTCTCGGGAAGTGTCTCGAGGCGATGGCTTTCCTTTATTAATCGGAGATGGCGCTTGCTCGAGCGGCGTTCGTCAGAGAAATAATACACCTTAACCGGCGGCATCTGTTCGTAACAATAAATCCTTTTCAAAAGTCAATCGAGCAACAATGGCAGTCTAGGGCTAGGTGGCGCAAGCTACCCCCCGTTACAGAGGGTATAGCCATTACCATCCATGAGCCACGAAGCGTGGGATTGGATCACAGTCCTCGCCGAACGTTGATGCCGCCTTCATGCTCAGAAAAATATGGCGGACTTGGATAATTGACGCAACAACCGCTTGTAACCGCTTACTACGAGTACAACACGTGCCATTTAACGTGTAGACCTTAAATGTTTCCCATATGCGTATATTTTTCTTTTTCTTTTAACGCATTATTTATTTACCCTGGGCTCGATATAATTCTGACGATGTTATAACTTACAAGCAAACATTTATCGCCGATATATATTAGGTTTGATCTCGAAGAATAGTGCAAGAACCTTCGGTCTATATAAGTAGATCGAAGATGTTTCCAGGGCGGTTTCTCGGCACACGCGCGGTCACAAGCCGTCGCAACACAGTCAATCTCACCCAATCGCGGATGTGTGAACCGTCCTTTAGGACATTTTTGGAGAACACCGCACCTAGGTTGTCGCAAGATGACGGAGTTTTGAGTAAGATGTCGGGCTCTCGGATAAAGACGCAGTGAAAAACAGTTGTAAAAATAAACAAAAACCGCGCAAAAAAAAAAAAAAAAAGAAAGGCAACAAGATGCGGCACATATATGCCCGATTTTCTTGCTGTGTAAGTTAACAAGCCTTTGGCCGTGCAAAACTTGTATTACAATCAAAAGCCTCGGATCGAGTCATCCATGGAATGTATGAAATATTCGCAGCTTTCAAGCAGTCTGCATTCGATGGCCACCAAGCAAGTTCAGAGAGTATGGGTGGTGGTGAAATAGGTGTGCAACGCGACGCGATAAGTTGTCAGCGTCTCAACATTTTGCAGGACACCCCAAACGCATTGTCGTAAGATAACGACGTATTGAAAAAAAGATGCCAGACTCTCCGACAAAGACGCCTTGAAGAAGCATCGCAAGGAAAGACAGCAAGAATTGCGACAGAGTTCAACAAGCTGCCGCATCAGCGTACGTTTCTTGCTGCGCATGGATTACAACCCTTTGGCGAAAACTTGCTTTACAAATTACGATATTGTAGGCAACCTATGACACATTCGCTGCACTCGTAGATTCCACAATCTATAGTCGGCGAGCAAGCCCACATAATCTGGTTTTGTGATAAAACAGGCATTTAACGCGACGCAATAAAGCTGTCAACACTTCATGGAAATCCCAATTCACCAAAACACGACTTCTCATCCTTTTCTTTTTCGAACGAAGTTTTTTGTCAGCAACGTTCCGTCCATCACCGCCGGCCCCGCAATCTGCCACGCTTCGCCCATATGTTATACTTTCACGAGGCAATAACTCTTTCTCGAGAGACGATCCGCGTCCGTCACCATCACGTGGTGGTGGTGAGACGGACTCTCTTGGTGACTCGTCCGCGACGTTCGCTGGGTCACTACAGTTCTAGCCGGAACCGGCCTGGTGAGAGCACGTCGTCGAAAGCGACGGCTTTATGAAGAAGAGTCCCGGGGAATTACTTGCGCGCACGGCGTTGGATGGTGTTCCGGTTTTGACGCGCTTCTTCATATGCGTCATAAGCGCCGTTTGTTGCCGCCGCCGGGTCAGCCGCGGCCGAGGAGCCTTGCCGAGTTATTGGGAAATCCTTTCGCGCGTTGAAGGGCGACGTCGGAAGAGGGAATTGTTTGGAAAGACGACGCGGGCAGCGAATGCTCGGACGTGCTTTGCTGACGTGCTTCCCTGTTTGAACTCCTTTGAGTCATCGGCAGGGTCGTGACGCTGTTGGAGGACAAATGAACGTCGGATTTACTCGGGTGGGTTATTCCTATCCAGGAAGCTCTAAAAAACGTAACGGACGAGAAAAAAAAAATATAACGTGTTTGCAGTCAATACCAGGTCCTGAGTGGCCACGTCTATTGAACGGCACCTGTTCGTCCTTTTGTTGGAGCGCGTGCAGCAGTGTGAGTTCGAGTCGGATGCTAGCATGTCGAGTCACAACCCGGCGTACTAGATCTAGCAGGTTGCTTGGGAACTGTACATTGCATGTGCATTCAGTACATTCCTTTATATCTAGCACATAGCCGTCTGGATTGTTGCTTCTTCATCCAATTTCCTCTAGATGGCCAGTAGCTTCTACTTGTTCCGTCTGAATTCAGTAGCTTATACTTGTTTGTTTTGCATCCAAGAGCTTGTACATCCAGCAGCGCATACTTAATTGTTTCTCCTGCATCAAATTTCTTATAGATCCAGCTTCAACATCCAATAGTGTCTACCTGTCTCTTCTCGCACCCAGTAGCATTTACTTGTTTCGTCTACATACAGTAGCTTCTAGTTATTTCTTCTTCACTCAGTAGCTTCGACATCGAAATAGCTTCTGCATCTGGTCTGTATGTGTCAATACGTGAAAACACTGCTTCAACAGTCCTAAATCGTCGCTTTGTTCAGGCTACTCTTCCGAGCTTCTGGCGACATTCCAAGACAAGATTTATCTGTGGTTGTTTCAGCATCCGAGTAGATTCGATTTTCTACACAGCCATGCGCCCGGGTACAACAGCCAGTTGCTTTCCAAAGGTTCAACCCATCTCAGCGCTGAATGTACTCTCTTTCGACGTATACATTGCAACGCCCAACACCAAAACAAATGTCCAATTCTTGTTTTTGGTCTCGATATATGTTACAGCGCCGGCTTCCAGAAAAACATTCAATGCGTGCCTGAGGTAACCACCTGCCACTCGCAATATAACTTTAGTTCAATCAGGACGATGGACATAAAAGTTGCAGAACACGGCGCTCAACACGCAGCACAAACGAACGTCCGATGCCCACTGCACGTCTACACTTGCCATCTTCGAGATACTTTCAAACATGAACACGGTAACGCCCCTGCCTGCTGGAAAACGCCAGCGGTCAGAAGTGTCCGACCGACGCGATGCGTATCACACCACCATCCTTCTGGCGAGAGAAAGTGCGTCCAGGGGAAGGGAGGAGGTCCCCTACGTGAGGGCCATCCAAGGCTGTCCACACACGCCAAGGCTAGCCAAGGCCGGCCGCCGCAAGTCAGCCGCCAGGATTTTCCCTCCCAGCTGTGAGTCAGTGAGTGCTGCGCCGCCGCCGCCACAGCAGCAGCGGCAACGGGGAGGTGCTTGGGCTACGCACACCGGGCACGACCGCATTCCTGCACACGCGGCGGCGCTTGCAGAGTCGCTCCAAGCGCGGCGGACGATAGGTCCTTGGCAAGGCTGCCTGGCAGCCCCGGGACATGCGGGAGACAGCATCTCCGGCTCGAGGGCGCCGGCCCGCTGATCATTGCGACCGAGAGACCGTTCTCCTAGTCGATATACCGGTCCGGGTTACCTCCTCCTCGAAGGCCGGTTCTAACGAGCGGTGTACGCGCCCTTAGAGGACGGTTTAGCGAGACTTAAGCCCTTTGCAAAGCGCGCTTACGCGGGTGCCAGAGGAGGCATACATTTGCGTGACATCAGTCGGCCGGGCTTATGGTCGCTGACTCATGGGCTGCTTTAGCAGACGGAGTAGGTGAGCGGTGTTTAGCAACTTCCGGTTCCTTAGGAAATTTTCTTTATCTGTTGACGAACGACGACGATGATCTGCAAGCCTGTAACTAGTGTGGAGGTTTCAGAACTATGCTGGCACAGGTTTGCAGCTCATTGTAGTCGTTTGTCAACAGTGAAATAAAAGTTCCCAAGGAACCAGAAGTTGCCAAACGCCGCTCACCCGTTGTCCTCGTTGAAACAATTCGTTTGGTGGTGTAAAATTACCACACGAAAAACACGTGTCAATGACTGATAATGTGGCGAAGAGACAAGCGAGCAACAGCTAAGGCTTATCAAGGTCCCATCGAGTAAACACGACAATGCCGCAATATTGTTTGTCATGCCAGGATTTGGAGAACGATGTGAATATTATCCGCGTCTTTCGGTGTTAAGAAATACCTATAACTTCTACCCATTTCTGTAGCTCCTTGTGAGTATTGCTCAAAAGGCACCATAAATTCCCTTGTACTGAAGCAGGCAGTCTTTTGACGTCTTCAAACGAGGATCTCTCGCTTTAAGGGCTGCAACCCCCGAGGTTTGCCATCTAACGCATAAACCGGAAGTTTTTCTGCAGACGCATATGTCTAAAGTGTACGCACGTTAGGTCGATGGCGCAAGCAACGCCCGTGCAAAAAAAAAAAAAACAAAAACAATGAGCAGTAGAGAGTAAAAAAGAATGCCCTTTGTTGGCTGCAAGAACGGCCGGCCGTCTTTGAGAAGACAGGCGCGGCCACGGCTCTCGCTTTCTGATAAAATACCTCTTCCAAAGTAGGAACAAGAATGCACACCTCTTGTCGGCGAACTCTGTCATCATGGCGTGAGGAGGTCATAACGCCCGACTAAGACATTACGCCATCAAGCCATTTACAATTTTTCATCCCTGTCGGCAAAAGAAAAACAAGCATAAGAGGTGCGATTTTTCCGCGTTCTGCGTGTGGTCCTCGCCAAGGACACCGGGAGGACAGGACCTACCCGACCTGACGTCAATCCTGGCGCGCTCCCAGAACAAGTCACAATCCGCTCACCTTTGAGCACGGCCGGCTTGGCGCCGTTCTGGCAGAGCACCGCGAGCACCAGCGACAAGGAGCTCGACGGCTGCGGACACTCCAAGTCTCCCGTGCAGTCGTCGTAGACCACAATGTCCCGCGCGCGACGGAGTTGCTCCCTGGCCTGTCCGCACGCCACCAGATCCCACAGGGCAAGACGTCCTTGCTGCAGTCGCCGTCTCGTAATGCGGTCGCCGCAGTTAACGTTCACAGCAGACTTGATGCGGCCCGCGTTGAAGCTCAGGAAGGGCCGACAGTCCACCAGGAGTAGCCGAGGTCCACAGTCCCGGTACCAGGAGTCGACTAGTTCCGTGGGCGTCAGGAGGCGCACGACCCGTCCGCAGGGTTCGGAGGACGTGGCACTGCTGCGACGACGGTAGGGGAGCAGACCGCCGCCGTTGGTACCCGACGTCGACGAAGACGTCGTGGACGACGTCGTGGAAGACGTCGCCATAGAGCGTGGCGCCAGCGGGAGTTGGAGCTGGCGTGGTCGGGAATCCAGCATGGCGCTGGGGACGGACACCTTAGCTCCACAGGACATACGTTCCGGAGTGAAACCAGGAACTGGGCGACAGGGCTGCGCGAGAAATGAGAGACAGACATCGTACTTAATATCTACTACTTCGCTCTCCACTTTTCCTTCACAAAGAAGTCGTGCTCTTACACGAGTTGCCTCAAGGCGCGACTCTAGCCATGCTTCTGACGCGAGTAAAGAGCAGATCGAGTCGCGATACTTCGTCGATAGTGACACTCTGTCGCTCTCTAAGAGGGCCAATCAGAAATCGACTTTGGACCACGTAACTCCGCTCTCTGCCATGGAGCACACAGAATACTTGTGCCTTTTCCTAATTTCCATCGACACCACGAGGAGGAGGCTCGGACGCTCGTAAATTTTGCGTCGGGAGCTGTAGAAGCATGCGACAATAAGAGCGGTGAATGTCAAGCATAAAAAAGGCGGAAAGTTACCTACATGACCTTTCCTGGTATGGGCCGAACATAATTTAAAGTATAGACTGAGTAAACTTGTATGCGCCAGCAAATTTACTCAGTACCATGAACCAACTAGCACAACAACGTGCCTTGGGAAAGTATAAACCCCGCTCGTAGAGGCCTGGCAGCAACATATGTTTCGGACAAGGAGGAGACAGCAAGATGCGTAACATAACATAGCATAAAGAAAAAGAAAAATAAGAAAAAGGGAATGAGTCAGAAGCGAGCAACGCATTCATTACAACACGATGCATGGGAACTCCTCAGTTTCAAAAGGTCAAAATGCGATGGTTGAGTCAGTGTGCGGAACCTCTGACCACTGCATTGGACTGTAATCCGTTTTCACCTGGCGATAAAACGCACTGCACTTTAACCGTTTTTTTTTTTTTAACTAGTCGCACATCTATCTTTCGTCACGATGAAAGGGGGGCGGTCGATTGGTCCGGCGTAGCTCGCACCTCACTGTCAGCTAAAGTGTGAACAGGGGGCTCCATACGCGAGGTAAAGATCCGGCCTTCGGACAACAGTCGTCGGTCAACGGCCTCAAAAGAAAAAAAAGCTCAACCCGCACACCCTCTTCCGCGAAACAATCGCGGGGGGAAACCTGACGAATTCCTGCAGGCACGGGACCGACTGACCGACGCAGCAGTGGACACGCGTTCCAACAGGTTTCGACAGGTTACCTACCCGGCCGCCTCGCCGATTCTACAAAAGGGAATTAGCCGGCGAATTTCAGAACCGCGCGGGGGCCCCCTCTGCTTCCGGGCACACTGTTCGTCGACCGAAGGGGGCGGCGTTGAATGAGTCGACTCGTAGCGCTCGCTGCTTCTGCCCTCGGGGTTCGTGTACGCTCCCGGCGATTGGTGCCGCGCAACAGCGGCGGAAGGAAGCGGTATTTTTAGCCGTCACAAACAGCCCGCTGGGCGCTACCGGGAACGGCTCCTCAGAAGCCGCGCACTGCACGGTGGTGGACCCGAGGCTACGTTCATATACTTGGCTCGGTTATTCGCCTCCTTGATGGGCGGTGACAGCTTTAAGGGGCCGTGCAACGACATTGGGAAGAAAAAAAGTTTCTCACTTTACACACTCACTGGCATTATGGGACCCAAGCACTAGCACGCAACGCCACTGACCAAGAAGCGTCTTTGTCGCCGCGTAATTTCGAGGAAAAAAGCGGACTTTTCTCTTTCCTTTTCTCCTTCGCGAAATTTGATGACGTAGTCGCCAGTTCCATTGTTGACGCGGAACACCTGTGGTGACGATATTAAAACGCAGCTCATACAATGAACAGGAGCAACTTGCGACTATTCGATTTCGGCTCGTGACGATCAGTACCTCGACAACTAACGCCTGATTTATAGGCTATACGAATGTCGAGAAATAGTTCCAAGCGGCATTTAGAAAATTATTGCATCGCCCCTTTAATGTTCCGCCTCCAGCGCGCGCGGCCAAAGACCGCAGGAAGGCAACGGGTTCGTGCCGGAGGCGGAGCTCATGCTGGGTTCTTAACCTGCCCGACTACTCTGACCTATGGGAGAGGATCGGTGGCTGAATGTGTTAACCCACATCGCATCTTTGAGCCCGTGGAGCGAAGGCTTGCGCCGTATTTATAACCAATACCACATAGGAGGAGGCCCGCGCACTACGTCATCGTTACTGGACCTCCCGACATGTGAGACGCGCTGCGGCGGCGATGAGGTGGAGGCCTCGTCGTTTCAGTGATATCGGTATAACCCTGGGATTCTGCAGGCTCAGTCCCCACCCCTGGCCGCCTCGATCCGGATGATCATCGTTCCGGCGTGCGGTCGTGTAATCACCGCGCAGTGTCATGCACATTGAAAACCCCAGCACAGCGACGACTCCACTTTCTAAATTTCTCCTCCATCTAGCGGAGACACCGAGACGTCCATCGGCGCTGACCGAGTTCTCGCTGTCTAGACGAACGCGAGACGCAATTTTTAGAACTATCCGAACGGACAGAGCCTTCTCTTGCTTGGGACACTGTGAAAGCAAGCACCACCAACGTTGTATCGCACGAGCGGTGTGTAGGATGCCGTTCAGTATACGATTGGCGTCCCGTACGATCTTGGCGTTCTTTCTCGCGCTTCTGGGGTTCTAATATGATATGCTTGCACACACGCACGCGCCGCCCTGGTGGGTTCCTCAGCTTAGGGCACCGTGGCTTAGGGGCATGCCCCGCCCGTCAATGTCACGAAAATTGTAGCCAACCTGTCGCGTGAGGCAAGCACAAGAGGAAAGACTGGCGTCATCACATGCCAAGGCCATCGAATGAACGTCGAAATGACGTCATCCCACTCAAAACCAGCACCCCTACCGGGAGCAGCTTTTACGTGTAAAGAGAGAGGAAGGACCGACACAAAGTGTCGAAAATACCAGCGCCCGTGGGTCTTTTACCCACAATTCTCGCGAGTCCTCTCAAGCGTGTGCGAGCCCGGAGACTGAACAGCGACGTTGACGAAAGAGGTAGGGCAGAGCGGAACAATTTAAGTCTACAATCTCCCCTCCCCCCTTTACAAGAAGGATGAGCGACTCACCCCAAAAAAACCTTAGTGTACTAAAAAAAAAAAAAAAAAATGAAAGCCCGCAGCTACCTGGCGCGACCGCCGCAGCCCACGGTCGGAACTGTAGCTTGACAGTGCGGTGAAAGGTATACGTGCTGGTCGGACCAGTCATACCGTCGCTCTTTCGTCACGTGATCACGCCCCCGCCCATACCCTCGTAAAGCAATTCTGGCGTGCCTGCTATGTTTAGACAACGGGAAGTTATTCAGCCCTAACGGGCGTCTCTGCCGTAGACGAGATTTGGCCGGTGCGGTACCACCGCTAGCCTGGGGGGTCTTTAAAGGCCGACAACCAGACTAGAGATTCTGCAAGGATGAAGATCCTCCGCATCGTGGGGAAGGAGGAAACAGGCAATGGTGGACAGGGTAGAAGGTGGGCAAAAAGGAGGCGAGGGAGTAGTGAAAAGCGCGAACTGGTCGTCGGTCTTTGACGCGATTCTTTAACACGACCGCACGCCGGTACGATGATCATCCAGATCGAAACGGGCGAGGAGAGGATTTGAACCCAGAGTCCCCGGAGCCTGCAGCGTGAGCTTTCGCTGCACGCGCGCTGAAGCTCACACTGCCCTCCTACATAGTACAAGGAAGCAACACGCTCCAGGACAGCGTCCACAGACGGTTTTTTTGTATGTTGCAGACGTTGAAAAAGGAAGCGGCCGGTCGGTCCGACAAACGGGCAACTCCCACCGCACTGTCAGCTTGGAGGCGAAAACGAAGCACGGCGTCCGCTCCCTCTCCGAGAGCCCGCGGTCTGAGTCGGAGTCTGAAATTAGCGCCTCCTCGGGTCTCCCGAGAGGAGCGGGGAGCACCTGGTCGAGGACCCTCCGGGGGTTCTAGCCTTGGGTCCGGGCCAAGGCAGCGGCGGGTGACTCAGGCACGGCCAAAAGGGGTCCCCTCCCTCCTGCCGATGCACCTGCGACGACGCTACAGCGCTCCGCCGCCGCCGCCGTGCTGACTCAGAGAGTTGCGAGGAGACGTTCGAAGCTCGCGCGTTGCGGAACGGGAGGAGGGAGGGTGCACCGCCGGGCTCGGTTTGGCGCTCTTCCGGAGCAAGGTGACGTGCCGCATGGTTCGGATTTTGCATCGCGTTTGCTGCCATTTTAAAGGGATAGCTTTAAATAGGAACCTTGCATCAATCTCGATGCTTGTGGTGGTGTCGGTCGCGCGAAGTAGTGAGGCCATGTAAGACGGTGTTAGCGACGAAGTGCGGTGATTATTTTAATTTGTTACCGATAGTTACGCCTTTTTGTCGCTTTCGGGTCTCGGAGGCGAAGTGACGGCCTACGGATCCCCGGGAGGCGGGTACGAACCCCGGCCGAGGTTCCCGAAATCTGACGGAGGCTTATTGCGGAGAAGGCGCCGCGTGGCTGAGTCTTCGGTTTAATGCCAAAAGATCCTCAAGGGGTCGCAATTCATCCTCAGTCTTCGGCTGGGGTGGTAAAACCAGATGCCCAAATACGTTAATTAAAAAAGAAAAAAAAATTTTTGTGCCCATACTCCGTAAAGTGGCGTCAACGTGTTTTTTTTAATTTCCGCGGATGCAAATAGAATAGGAGAACCCCAGTCGAACTTCAGCCGAGCTTTGCGACAGAAGTTCGAAAAAGTGGAACCTGTGTAGCTTCGCAACATCCTTATTGATAACGTCGGCAGCCCTTCAGAAGTTGAGACAAAGCACAAACAAAACACCTGCTTTTGCAAAAAAAAAAAAAAAAGTACACGTGGCGTTTTTTTTTAGTAAATTTTGCTGCGACTCTGCTGTTTTTTTTTGTTTTTTTTTTCTTCTAAAGCTATGGGTGTCATGCCAGCCAACACGCCAATAACATCAATACATATTTTAAAAAAAGAAGGGTCTGCAGTATTTTTTTTTTTCGTTTTCCTTCGAAGACTGCGCAAGTCCACAAGTCTTTTGGTGACGCCGTTAGTGCGCGTCGCTACATTTCCTTGTTATCAACTCATGCGTTGCCAACCGATTACGGCTTACTGACGAAGCACGGAAGATACGCGGTTCG